TTCGCTAGGCGTCTTCGGGGGGGAATCCGTCTTCGGAGTTGGGGGCGTCTTCGGGGAATCCGTCTTCGCTAGGTGTCTTCGGGGTTCATCAAACATACACAGCTGCGGCGAATCCGTCTTCGTTAGGCGGATGCGTCTGCGGGTGAAAAAGTGCCCCCGCCAGGGCGGCTGCAATGCAAGATGGAACTTGCAAAGCCAAGCCGAAAAAATACCGTAGTGCAAAGCATGTAGCATGTTCCAAAGTGCACAGTACATCACAGTACCATACACAAGTACTGAGTTGGATTGATGGTTCTCGATTCTCAATCATTCAATCGCTCATCTGATGATTAATTTGACATCGTGAGCCTCATGACGCAGAAGAAACGTCCACCCTTGTTAAGGACAAAGGGAATTGCCTGTGCTGACACATCTGGCCATGCAATTTGCCAGCCTAGCCTCACTTTCCTGCGGTTGGTACGTTTCCGTTTGTAGGATTGATCATGACGGAATCCACCACATCTAAGGACTTGAATGAAAGTTAAGGCTTTTGGCACTTCGTGGACCTACCGTCCACTGTGCAAAACTTGGCCAAGTCATTGTGGGACGTTTAAAAACCTCGACATTGGCCATCACTTCACCAATTGGAACGCTGCAGCTGGCACTCCTCAGAAACTATGCCCTCACACTTGGCTCAAAACATGGAGACTCCAGCTGCAGCAACTTGCTGATGGATTCAGCCATTTGTCAATTTGTGCAACAAACGGCTGCTGGAAACGTTCCATCATACTTGAGAAAGTCTTTTGAAACCGGGAGCGTGCACACGCTGCGTCAGCTTTCGAAACGCACCGCTGTTCTCGGCTTTCAGGATCTAGTAGGACTCTTCCGAATACCGTCCCGCAGCCACAAAGTCCTGAGCCCAAACAAAAGCTGGCAACGCTGTACTAGATCTCTGAAATCCAAATCCATGATCTCTGTCCTTGAACCATTTATCAGCCTCTGGCTCCGATGTTGGCGCCTCACGCTAAGCGGCTAAGCAATCAGAGCCAAACGATTCCCACTGAAACGTTTCCCAAGGAAGCTTCTAGTTACTAGAACGCTTTATTGTTACTAGGAAGCTTCAAAGACATACTGAAAACTTATTGTTACTTTTTGAGCCACAAACAGACTCTGAGGATTGCACGCTTTGGCCACCGCATTGCACCAGCGCTGCCTTGAGTGCTTTCTGCACCGAGGGTGTTGCAACAGCTGGACCACACATGAAGAAGTAGCCACCCTGGCCAGAACAAAATTCAATCTGCGCTCCACTGATCCACACTCTGCTAAACAGGCCTTTTTCAGCAGATTGTCGCTGATAAGCTCAGGCTGCTCGGCCATCTTGTCAGACACGAAGATCTGCTTTGGCGGATAGTGTGGCTTGTCAAACCTCCGCTGAATCCGAAGCTTGCAATGGGCCCAAACATACCTGACATCATTGGGCTGAGCTCCAGCACTGGAATGCTCCAACCAGTTTTGTGAGAACTCCCTCCTTTTCGAACATCCTGAGTTGACGGCTGAGAAGAGCAGGTGAGTTGTAAGCGTCGAGTCACCTAGCACCGACACAAGGCCAAGTTTCTTCCACTCATCCTTGTAGAGAAGCTCCTCCTGAAGGCAAATTGGTGTCGGCCCTGGGGAAAGTTGCTGCGCTCTTCTTCTTGTTTAGTTTAAATTATGACAGCTGCAAGATGTTCCGACCCAAGGTCAGGATTACAAAGACTCTGTACAAACATATATATATATATACATGCGTCCTCCCTCAAACCGGCCCAATTAGCTATAGCTCTTGTTGTTAGGGTTTACAGTATCAGTAGTCCGATAATTGCACAACGCTTTCATATATTCGGCAGGTGTGCGTTCTCCTGCTCGTGCCGGCAGCCATAGAACACAACCATGGGTCCAGTGCTGATGCCATTCTGCTTCTTGTAAAGCTTGTCCTGCTTGGAATATGCATGTGCAGTCCGAACCAAAACCAAACCTGTGAAACAAAAATTAAACCTTGACATTGTTGTTTTCTCCCCTGCATCCACACTTGCACGATCACAAAATTGCACAAGCAATGGAAAAGGAACGGCTTTAGCGGAAATAAGGCCTGTCCTGCATAAAGGACCGAATCGGGGCCTCAGGCAGTTGAGAAACTCTACAAACGCAAGTGTGCACTTGGCATCTTGCCAAGCCACAATGCCAGTCCCTAAACCAACCATGACCATGGGCGTGGTGTCCTTTTCCGGAAACTGGAAGGTGCCGCAAACCACCGCGCATGCAACCTCCCAGCAGGTTTGCACATGAGACGGCAAAACATGGAGACAAAGCTTCACTGCGCAGGATGTTTGGCCGAGCCTGCTTGCCCACTGGCATGTCTTGGATGAACTTCGTGCATGTGCCTGTCCAAAAGGCAAATGCTCAATGACTTGTGACAGTTGCCAATGGCAAAAGGCAGCCAAACCAAACTTCTGACGACCCAGAAGATGGAGGGTGCAGGGACGAAGAGACTAAAGAACCAGATCAGTTCAGATCATGGAGGAGCTTGTGTTTCGGGATGGACCCAGATTTTTGAGATCACGAGTGGGCTTACGGTTGATTGATCTGGTCAGCCCTGACCGCAAGGCGCTGGACTGTACAATGGATTGAGCTACAGTATCTGCCGGCCGGCATACCACGCAGCCAGATCCAAAAGCCTCAGGTTCTTGTTTCGATGTCTCCATGGCCCTCTTATGCGTTAGATACACTCCCAGATCACCCGGAAACTTCCGACACCAAACCTTGGGCTCTTTTGAACGTGGAGGGCCAACAAGAAGTAGGTTTCAGTCAGACCATCCCGCATGCTCAGACTTTGGATGGCCCTGCATTCTCTGTCGATCCTGGTAAATGGCTTGCCAAACTACTCCAAAGTGTTGAGGCGTAGCCTATTCAAAATGCTGATACAGGCGATCTACATACAGATTGGCATGCCTGGCAGTGCCAACAATGGACGGAGGCTACCAAAACGGTTGCACGATTTTCTCAGGATCTCACTTGCTGCACACAAACATGAACACAAACACATGTGACATCCAAACGACGTTGTTGAACATAGATATGTGTGGCGTTTGGAAGGATCAAAGTTGTCCTTGCAGCCGAGCCTGTCTTCAACTCACCTGTCTTGGCCTTCCATTGGTTGATGACAATGGTGAATTCGACAGCCTTGGGGCCTCAGAGCCGAGACCAACACTGCCTTTGAATCCAGAGGATCAGCACAACAAACAGATTCAAATTGAATAAACCAGTCAATGGGAAAACATTGACACAAACAGAGTCTCTGTTTTTCCTTTGACGCAAGCAGGCACGCAGTATTTGCTGATTTCCAGTGCTTCGAGCTGGCTGTATCTTGCATCAGAAGCAATGGAGTAAATGCCTCAGCTTTGAGCACTGCTGTCATGGTTTTCCTCACCAATAGCTGTCATAGCTTGCTTGGTACATCCTAATCTTGGTCAAAGTTGCGAGGTTTGATGGGAGGCAGAATCGAAAGTAGCTGCTCCAGTGGCATTTTGGCGCTTGGGAACTTCCTAAAGCGGAAGAAGACAAAGGAGCGAAGTTCATGTCCAGATGTCTGAGGCCCATGCTTCATAAGGTCAAAGTAGGTAGGACACTGTTCGCAAAGCACCTCAGCAAAGCGCAGAAAAAACACAAGTCAACGTCAAGCCGATGTCAAGCCCACATGATCAACAGTCTCAAACAGACTAACTGACTGCCCTCGCAAAGCAATGTGTACTCTTCCTTCCTGCTGATGTTGCTTGCGGCGTATGCATTGAAACTGTCAAAGGTAGCACGCGAACGGACCGCTCCCCTTTTTCCAGGGAGATCTTTGGGCCACTATGGGCCAGTGCGGTAAACATGGCTTCAGGTGCAAAATGTCTGACATCCCACCAAAGGACCAAATACAATGCCGGTCCTTTCAGACTTGGCCCGTCCTGGCGAACTGTTCTACGTGTCGCTGCCAGTCCGCTTCCCATTGCGCGGACATCACTGCCACACAAAATGCAGCAAATCCCTTTCTGCACTCGGTATCCCATCCTAGTGCATGATCAAACCGGATGAAAGGATACCACTCACCAAACTTTGCTGTCAAACGGGCCTGTGCATATTGCGTCATCTGTGAACGCGAAAAGAGTCCAGTGCTTAAAAGTCTCCTGGCTCTTCTTTCCTCATCTTCACTCAAGTACCGGATGCAATTCTCCAGCTTGTTCCAATCAAGAGCTTCTGGGGGTTCATCTCTGTCATAGTCTTGCCACAGGTAGTTGTCATCAGGCAAAGTCGTGCCTTCTGCAATGGTCACATCCTCATAGGCCAAACCTTCATCCACACCCATCAGCTCTGTCCCAGCTTCCTCATCTCGTTCAGAAGCGGTAGGCCTGTAGTGCCTTCTGTACCCATGAGTTGGGCTCAGCGTGAAAAATTCTTCACCACTTGCGGCATCGTCACCAGATTCCAGGATCCGGTAAGGCCTTAGCCTTTGCAATTCTGGATCCCAGTCAGTGAGGTAGTTCTCCACGGTGACACCACCTCTCGTTGCTTCTTGCTCTGACTCTTCTTGTCCTTCGGATCTTAGTCTTCTCCTTGATGTTCCTCGGCTCTCACGGGATGCTTCATCCTCCTCATCAAAGCTTCCTTCTGGTCCTTCTCTCTGGCGTCCCAGTCTTGATGCTCCACGTCTCCTCCTCAATGGTGCGGGGAATGGAGGTGATGGCGCGCGAATCCATTCTCCGCCAATGGCTTCCACAGACTATCTTACTGCCCACTCTCTCAGGTCCAAACCTGACCTGGTAGGCTGTCGATCATCTTCTCGATGAAAATCTGTGAACCAGTCAGTCTGAATGTAAGACTTCAACTTCCTGCGCCACCAGAAAACTTTCTTCCACTTCGCATAGCCAATGTAGACGCCAAAGCCGAACACCATGATCGTGTACAGTAGGAACGCCATGATGTAGTAGCTCCATTTGTAGCCACCAACCTTCTGGTTGTCGAACTCTTCAAGGTTGTAGCTTTCATTGCTTCCATCCTCATGTACTCTGTACACTCGAGGTTGTAGTAAGAGCAACGTCACCATCTTTACCATGGACTTTGAGATCTTCACCTTCGTCTCGCTGTTCTCTTCTACGGTCGACCTGACCATCTCATTCTTTACCTCCTTCATTTTCCTCGCCAGGTCTTTCTTTCCAAGTTCTTCGTGAAAGGCATCTTCTCCAACATGACAGAAAAACTGGTCAGCACCTTCCACATGCATTTCCATCACACCAACCAGGTGCATTAAGAACTCTCTCCTCTGTCTCCAAAGCCTCTTTGCGCCAAGGTCAGCCAACCTTTCTGCAAAAGCTCGTCCGTGATGGCCTTGATGAAAACTTCTCGTTTGCTCAGAAAGCGCCAAAGCTCCTTAAGCTGCAAGGCTTCTGCTGCTCCTCCAGCTGATGCAAGAAACTCTGCCTCGCAAGATGATAAGGCAATGGACTTTTGGGATCGTGACCAGGCAGTAATCAAGCAGCCATTCAGGAAGATCATTGCGCTGGCGTCTCTTTTTGTTTCGAGCTTCGATCACCTGCCCAATCACTGTCTGTCCAGGACTCCAAAGCATCTTGTTCTTCACTGTCGTCTTGACCTCTCAAAATCTCAGCCTTCTTACTCTTGTACTTGGTATAGGGGAGAAGGATACCGAGTGCTCGGTTCTCTTGAGGTAGAGGATCAAATGTTCGAGCTCAACTTCAGCTTTCCTTTTTGGGCTTGCCATGAACTGGCCAAGGTTGCGGACGCAATGCGGGATGTCTACTCTGTCTTGGGAAATGTAAAGCAAAGTGCCCAGCGCTGAGCGAAACATGTGTTGATCCCCACCTGCCAGCGCATCTTCAGGCGGTCCTTCAAGATCAAGTTGCGTGCTTTCAGGAGTGGCCTTTCCAGCTCTGTGGGTCAACGGGTAGAGCTCCACAAGACTTGGCGCATACTTCTCATGAGGTACGACAACTATGCCCTCTGCCGTGAAATAGTGTTTTTTCTTCAGGCATCGGATAGGCTCATCTTCTGCTTGGCCAGGTTGTGGAAGAACTCCCAACGCACTGATGACAAACTTGTCTCTCATCTTCTCAAGGAACCATGTGAGTTGTGTTGGTGCACCGGCAACTATCAAATCATCGACGTGGCACACCATTCCCAATGCTCTTTCTTTGTGGCGAAACAAGGATGGTAAGGAAAGATGATTGTCAATGCCAAGCTCCTCTAAGGCTTCTTTCAAGTGGTCAAACCACCTGGAAGCTGCGTCTCTCTGGCCTGGTAGGCATCGTGCAAGTCGCCAGTACCGCCTAGAACCATCCTCTCTTCTTCTGGCTTCCACCATGATGGCTGTTCAACCAAGGCGAGTTTGGGGCACCAGCAAAAATGCACTTTTGACGTCAGTGAAGCTCAAGCTCCACTGCATGATCACATGCGTTGCCTATAGCAACCTTGTAGCCGGCAAACTGGAAGTAGGAGCAAAGGTCTCTGCGGCGGTTTGGTCATGGCCTCTAAACTCTCCTGCCACGAACCTGCAGCGCCTTTTCCACCTTCCATTCCTCACTCTCCAATCAAAAACTTAACGAGTTGCGAGGATGCTCCCATTTGCCAAATCTTCCAGGCTTGGCTCTTCCAAGGCACCCATGTCCAGAAGTCGATGAATCTCTTCTTGACCAGCTGCGGCTTCTATCTTTGCAAGTTCAATAGGCCCCACCGGTGGAGTCCCTTCATCAATCACTTCATCCGAGAAAAGCTCCTCCAAGAAAGTCATCTTCTCAGCTGCCTCGAAATCAGCCACTTCCTGTTCTCACTGAAATTCATCTACTGGCCAACTTTCCACCTGCTGCACGCCTCCTGCATAGTGAGGTGCGTACAAAGAAGTTGGGCTTCCGGTTGGGCTTGTCCTCGGTGCCTTGGTGCGACTCTCTTCAACTGCATTGTCATACAACACCTGTTCGCTGCCAGCGCTTTGAATAGGTGGTGGGCGCCTTCTCACCAATGTCAGCTTGCTCACTATCAAGTCCAAGCGGCAGTGGAGCAGCGCTCCACGGCGTGGCATCTTGCCCGGCTCGGCTACCATGTCAAAGGTAGCGCGCGAACGGACCGCTCCCTTTTTCCAGGGAGATCTTGGGCCACTATGGGCCAGTGCGGTAAACATGGCTTCAAATGCAAAATGTCTGACAGAAACGAACAAAACACCATCTCCCTTAAGAGATACATTTTTACAAGGTCCTGTCCTGACCAAACTTCTCACTTCAGGGACCTGATGAGGATGGCACCAGGCGGGGGCCACCTCAATCCCCTGTCATTCGTTCATCATGTACAATTTAATAGAGGCGTCCTAAGATAGTGCAAATATAATGCCTGCTTCGCAGCTATTCCGGACTTGCCGAGTTGACCTCACGAGCCTTTGTCAACCAGTTCTGCAGAACGGACAACGCACCGGAAACTCTACATCCCCGGCAAAGAAACTGCTGTGATATCAGCGTCATCATTATGGTATGACTTGGTATGCCATCACAGAAAAAAACAAACCAGGTGTGTGCAGTGTGTCTCGTAAAGCCTTTGGCCCAAGGCACTGCCCACTCATCCTGGCGCGGGAATTCGTCGGGGCCAACTGCGTGGCCAAGCTTCCGAAGAGCCTGCAGCCGCAAGAAAACAAAGCAATATCTAACAATCAGCTATTTATTTATATATATATAAATGCGCGTGGATATTAGCCCTGTACCGTGCAAGTAGCAAGGCTATCCTGTAGTTCCATGAGCGCTCAACAACGCAGCGCGTTTGTTTTCCGCTCACAGGGGCCTTGGGCCAAAGGTCAAGTCATCACATACGGTGTGTACGCGCTATACATACTATGGCCTGTTGCTGCACTTCCACGGACACTCCCCATGTATCCGATGCTATCAGCTTCAGATACACACAATCAAAATTCAAGGGTAAGTTTAGTATGCAGTAGGCTTCGAATTGTTGCCGCGAGGCCGAAAACGGACTCTATACTAACCAGCACTAAGGGAACTAAGCGGACTCTACATATACAAGGTGTGATTAGACCTACTGGCTGTCCCAATGAACTGTAAAAAGGGTAGTCGAATTAGCCACGCTCAGAAAACTCTCAGTAGATCTTCGTCATGAGATAGTCCGAGTTGCATTGCGACTTTCTCAACTATAAAATATGCTCATTTGATGATACAGATACTCTTACGACTGACAGAGGTTCATACTCGGTGAGTTGAACTTGTCTTAGCGTCCGGTATCCTCTTCATATTCTTCTTCTTCTTCTTCCCAATCGTATTCACCCCAAGACCTAACACCTTCCCTGATGCGCGCTGCTCATCATGGAACGTTGTGTCATAGGTGCGCCAACTTGGATAGTGGCACTTGCTTCGTTGCCAAGTAGGTTGGGAACTTTTAGAATCTTAGAACTCTTGCCACCTTTGTTCTTGTCTTTCCCCTTTCCTTTGGGATCTTGACGTTGAGCTTCTTGTCGTTGCTGGCGGCTTGAGGACGCTGCCTCTGATGGTGGTGGCCTTTCAATTTCTGGCGCAACACTTGGCTGTGACGGCCTCCTCGTAGTCGAAGTCCTGGAAACCTTTGCTCCGTAGTCGTATTTGTCCGTGAGTCTTTTGACTTGCTCTGGTCCCAACATACTGTTCCAACGTTTGAAAGCTTGTTCATCGACATGTTGAATCATTTCCAGAAAGACGTTCTGCGCGACTGGCGGAAGCTTGACTTTGATCCAACGCCAATAAAATTGCCCTATCCCATTTTCCATTGGGTCTCGCGTACAAGATGTCAACGGGGTGTCATCGGTCAAACCCTCCCTGAAGTAGGAATACGAAGTGACGTTGTAGATAGCGTTCACGCACTTTCCAACCGTTCTTGACATTATAATTATACTTGGTTTCGCTCTTTTTATCTCCTCAACTTCCTTAGGGGCGGCGCCCAGCGGAACATTGAGCTCGTTGAATTCAGCTTTGACAGTCTCTGCTTTATAGCCAAAAGCAATCGCTTGCAGCGCAAATCTTCCTAAGGCGAGCTCTCCACGGAAACGACGCCGTGCCTCAATGACCGTGATCTTGCTCTTCTCAGCGAATGCGCGTTTGCTCGAATGTGGGGTCCACGGGCATGTCGTTATCGTCCAAGCCGTCCGGACATTACATCAAGTCTTTTCGTCCTGAAGAGTTGCTTGAAGTCAGCCATACCCAAGTGGTGATATGACTTGTACATTGGCGCTATCACTTGCGCCATACACCTCGTGATGTAGCGGTCCATCAAGCCTGATGACCCTTTACCTGCGTCCTGACTTTCGGATTCTTCTTGCAAGTCGAAAGGAATAGGCTCTGGAAATCTGCGCCATCTAGGTAACTCATCCTTGGGCAGGCCGATGTCGGGGTCCAAAGATTTGGGTCCTTCCGCATCGTATCCTTCATCGTCGGCTTGTCCTTGCTTGAGTTCCTGATCTGCTTTTCAGCGTCTTCGTCACTCTGTCGGTAGTTATTGGGCGTTCAACTGTACTTTTGCGAATGGCCCTACATCTCGTCGATCTCCTCTTCGATGTCTGGCGCCGAATCTCTATCCCAATCTGCCTCATCCTCATCGAACGAAGGGGTGTGAATATCACCTTAAGGACTTAAGGATCATTCTTGTTTGCTGCTAATTGAGCCATGATCTCATCAATGAAACTCAAATCAACTTCCTCATCTTCGTTCTCATCTGTAATCTTGGACTTCAGAACATTCTTAACTTCTGCCAACATTTCTTCATCCTTCTCTTGCTGTTCTTTGGCAGGACCCTTAATTGCTCCATTTCCACGTCCCTCTCGACATTGGCTTCATCATCATCGTCGTCGAGCGTGGATACAGTGTTTCTTACACCACGCCATGAATCCTTTACGATTTCTTTTCTACTGTGGACAGGGAGCAAACCTCCTTGATCTTGGAACATTGCGCACTCTTGTCAGCGTCTGTCCATCGTAGCGCCATTCATCTTGATACTTTTTGTTTGTTTTTGAGTTTTTGATTTCGAATCCTGAGCGTCAAAATGGTCAATCACTGCGCCGCAAGCGCGAATTAGTGCACCGTCCGGCCCTCCACTCCCACCACGAACAAGACGTAGTAGCGCGTTGACAACACGAAGGGTGGCCGGGCGGCAATTATTGAGCGGTCGCAAATGATCTGTAGCAAAAGCAGGGTCAAGAGATAAGAGACAACGACTCAAGGGAAAATTTTAAGACAGCGTCAGGAGTCCAAGGGACATTGGCTAAACCTAGAAGAGGCGTAGAGGATAAGCAAAAACTTGCTTTTTAGGTGGAAGAGGCTTTGGAGGCGTGATGGAGACAGCATGCGCGTTCGACCCACTTGTGAAAACGTTGAGCCTGTTGTAAGGGTGTGCTTCCCTCGATTCCAAGTGCCATTGACAAGTACCCACGCGCTTCTGCGTGTGTCCGTGGGAACATATCATCCTGGTGGAAAGCGACGACAATAGACAGGAACCTTGACGACATAAATGCAATCTCCATTTGGAAGGTCTTGGACACCTTCCCAGTCATTCCCTTGGTAAACACAGCTCGCGGTAGTACCGGAGTTTGCGCGTAGGGGAAATTCGGGACGTCGTCGGTTCGGATCTGAAACGTTTGGTGGCGGTTTTATTGCGATCGACTGATGGAGGGACCATGTCTGCTAACTCCTGAGATGTCAAATCCGAAGGATCAAGAAGGTTGATAAGCATACAAGCCCGGCGCCAAGCAAGAGGCGTCCGAAAGGCCTTTGTATGGATGTCAGCACACATCTTGTGAGAGATCTCACACGTATACCATGAGTGCGTTCTAAATGTCGCATTGTAGGATTCCTTCCCGGCTCTTGCAACGCCAATCATACCTGTCATCGTGGAAGAGTACCTCCGGGGCTTTGCCGGTGGAAATTTGCCATAGGCCGATGGATGGAATACCATAATTGCGGCGAGTTATGTTCGCGGCTACAATCTCCGTCTCGGCCGGGAGTGGAGTGACCAACACACCATTGACGTTTACTGCCTCCTGCAATGGGAAATCGAGTGCGCTTGCCTTGAACATGCACGTGGGATCCAGAGGTTGATCTCAATGTCTCACACAGCCTGCAAAGTCGGCGTCTGCGAATGTTCCAAATGATAGGTCTGCAATAGAATCGCCAGCCCAACCGATCATGCGCTTGTCTAATGCGCTGTTGACATAGCAGATTAGGTGACGCAAATTTGCATCATCATTCGGGGTCCATTTGTTGACATTTGGGGCCAACATGGTGATTGATCGAAGTAGATCAAAACGTGCAATTCTGGGCGCGTACAGTAGTTTCACGAGGAGACTGGCTGCGTGTGGCGCTAATGCTCCCACGACTTCCATCAACTTTTGCGACGTCATTCTTGGTAGATGATAGAATACTTGAGGTCAAACGCGTTAGAACACCAAGGACACGTTGTACATTCTTTGCCTGGAGCCGGTGCTCTGGCAGGATGTTCCTTCGTCTCTTCTGGGAGACTTGAGGTTGTAGCTGTTTTGAGTTTGGTTTCAAGACCAACAATATCGAGATATTTCTCAACGGACAACTTCAGCAATCCTTCCATGTTGTAGGAGACTGTGTTGACCTTCGTTCCATCATTCACCTCTTGTTAGCATGCATCCGAGGTATAATCCTTAGTTTCGTTCAAAGCATAGACCATCCTGTGGACATGGTTTCAGTTGGTCCGGCCAGCTTGAGATCGTCCACGTAGACTACAAGAAGGAGTTTCATGGCCTCATGAAAGTACACTGATGGCCACTCTTCACCACTTGGTTTAAAGCCAAGTTGGTGCACCTGTTTGTCACAGTATTGCTCCCACGTTGTGCCTGCGTCTGGATGCCCGTACAAAGCTTTACGAAGGCGTACCACTGGTCGATGATACTTTGAAGCATCAACATCATCTGGCCACGCATCTGACGGTAACTCGATCCAACAAGGCGGTTCCGTAAGATAAGCTTGGATATAGGCTTGGATTGCATCCGCAAGCTTGACGGAATGCCCTGGAATACATCCATAGAAATCTGCCCGTCTTGAAGATTTAAAGGAAGCTGGAGAATTTCACAGATCTTGAAAGAATGCTGATTCCCAGTTTTGGTTCTGCACTTTGTTCCCTAAGAGGACTCCTCTACCCTTGAATTTTCTTCGTTCATCACCTAAGCGCCTCTTGCTTCACATCGAAATACTCACGTATCACGGAGAAGTCAAAGCCATCTTGATTATGTAATCCTAGCCATTCATTCTGCGTGGAAGCTCTGGCTTTGGGATTCTTCAGCATTTCTGCACGGCTGACGGGTCGTGACACTGCTGCGTGATAAACAAACCTCGATACTTGTTCAAAGAGTCCGGTGGGACCTTCAAACACATCCTTCCCTCGAAGCATGGATACAGTGTTGACGCCAGGCATGGATGGACATGGAATGTGACGTTCCTTGAGGTTCTTAGTGAAATCTTCCGTAGAACACTTGTTGGATTCGCGTGGCATTGCGTACGCAATAGCTAAGCTGTCCATCACCTTGCGCGTGTTGCAGGTGGCACGTGGACCGAATCCATTCTC